GATGATTTTGAAATCATCTCATCGTGAGTTTCATTTGAATTCAGATTGCTTGTCAAACCTGTGAGAAGGGAGCAAGTTCTAACCCGATTGAAAAATGATTTGAGAATCATTTCATGGTTAGTCTCATTTGAATTCAATGTGATTAGCAAACATCTGCGAAGTACGCAATTTCTGATCCGCGCGAAAGATGATTTGCAAATCATTTCATCGTGCCTCTTAGTCAAATTCGATGTCATTGTCAAACATGTGGTAAGCGCGCAATTTCTAAGTCGAGCGAAACATGATTTTAAAATCGTTTCATGATGAGTGTCACTTAAATTCAATGTGATTGTCAACCGTGTGGGAAGCGCACAATTTATAACTCGAGGGTAAGGTGATTTGGGAGTCATTTCATCGTTAATCTCATTTGAGTTCAATTTGACTGTCAAACGTGTGGGAGTCGTGCAATTTCTCACTCGATCGAAACATGATTTTAGAATCATGTCATTCTTAGTTTTATTTGAATCCGATGTAATTGTCAAACATATGGACAGCGTGCGATTCGGAAGCCGATTGAACGATGATTTTGGAATCATTTCATCATGACTCTCATTTGAATTCGATGTGATTATGAAAGGTGTGGGAAGCGCGCAATTTGTAACTCGAGAGAAAGGTGATTTTGAAATCATTTCATCTTTAATCTCATTTGAATTCGATTTGATTTTCAAACGTGGGGGATTCACGGAATTTCTCACTCGATCGAAAGATGATTTTAGGATCATGTCATGCTTAGTCTTATTTGAATCCGACGTAATTGTCAAACATATGGATAATGTGCCATTCAGAACTAGATTGAAAGATGATTTCAGAATGATTGCATGCTGAGTGTCATTTGAATTTGATGTGATTGTCAAACCGGTGTATATGCCGCAATTTCTTACTTGATCGAACGGCGATTTTAGAATCATTTCATCCTGAATGTCATTTAAATTCGATGTGATTCTGAAACGTGTGGGAAGTGCACGATTGTTAGCTTGATCGAAAGATGATATTATAATCATTTCATGGTGAGTCGCATTTGAACTCGATGTGATTATGAAACATCTGGAAGCGAGCGATTTCTTATCCGATGGAAAGATGATTTTGGAAAGATTTCATGGTAAGTCTTATGTGAATTCGATGTCATTGTGAAACGTGCGGGAGGCGCGCAATTCTATGTCATGGGAAGATGATTTCAGAATGATTTCATGCTGAGTCTGATTTGAATTCGATGTGATTGTCAAACATGTGTGTATGCCGCAATTTCTTACTCGATCGAAAGGATATATTAGTATCATTTCATTATTAGTCTGATTTGAATTCGATGTGATTCTCAAACGTGTGGGAAGCGCATGATTGCTAACTTGTTCGAAAGATGATTTTTGAAGTATGTCATGATGAGTCTCATTTCAAGTCCATGCGATTGTGAACCTTGTGGGAAGTACGCGATTCCTAACCTGATAGAAAGATGATTTTGGAATCATTTCATCGTGCGCCCCATTTTAGTTCGATGGAACTACCAAAGGTGTGGGAAGCGCGCAATTTGTAACTTGATCGAAAGATGATTTTCGAATAATTTCATGATGGGTCTCATTTGAATTCAATGTGATTGTCAAACGTGTGAGAGGGAGGCAATTCCTATCACCATCGAAGTGTTATTTTGGAATCAGTTGATGGTGAGTCTCATTTGAATTCGATGTGATTGTCAAACGTGTGGTATTCGCGCAATTTCAAAGTAGGACGAAAGATGATTTTAGAATCATTTCATTATCAGTCTCGTTTGAATTCGTTGTGATTATCGAACGCGTGGGAATCGTGATATTTCTAAGACGCTCGAGAGATGCTTTTGGAGTCATTTCATTATCAGTCTCATTTGAATTCGATCTGATTGTCGTACGCGTAGGAATCGTGGAATTTCTAAGACGCTCGAGAGATGCTTTTGGAATCATTTCATTATCAGTCTCATTTGAATTCGATGTGATTGGGACTGGTGTGGGTAGCGCGCAATTGCTTAGTCTATCAAAAGATGATGGTAGAATTATTTTGTGCTGTGTCTCATTTGAGTTCGATGTTAGCGTCAAACATGTGGGAACCGCGCACTCTCTCAGTTGATGGAAATACGATTTTAGAATCATTTCATGATGAGTCTCATTTGAATTCGGTGTGTTTGTTAAACGTGTGGGAAGGAGCAATTTCTATCTCGATCGAAAGTTGATTTTAGTATCATGTCATCGTTAGTCGAACTGGAATTCGACGTGATTGTCAAATGTGTGGTAAGCGCGCAATTGGTAACTCGATGAAAAGATGTTTTTAAAATAATTTCATCGTGAATCTGATTTGAATTCGATGTGATTGTCAGAGGATGGACACCGCGCATTTTGTAACTGGATCGAGACATGATTTTGGAATCAGTTCGTGATGAGTCTCATTTGAATTCGATGTGTTTTTCAAACGTGTGGGGGAGCGCGGAATTGCTATTGCGATCGAAAGATGATTTTAGTATGATATCATGATGCGTTTCATTCGAAGTCGATATATTTGTGAAATGTGTGGAAAGGACGCAATTTCTAACTCGATCGTAAGATGGTTTGAGAATTATTTGATGGTGAGTCTCATTTGAATGAGATGTGATTGTGAAACGTTTAGGAGGCGCACAACTTTCCAGCAGGATTGAAAAATGATTTTAGAATAATTTCATCGTGAATCCCATTTGAATTCGATGTGATTCTAAAGGGTGTGGGAAGCGCGCAGTTTCTATGTCGATCGAAAGGTCAATTTGGAATGATTTCATCGTGAGTCTCAATTGATTTCGATGTGATTGTGAAACGTGTCGGAAATGCACAATTTCTATCTGGATCGAAAGATGATTTTAGAATGATTTCATTATCAGGCTCATTCGAATTCGATCTGATTGCTGAACGTTTGGGAAGCGCGCATTTTTTGTCTTGGTCGAAAGATGATTTTGAAATAATTTTATGATAAGTTTGATTTTCATTCGATGTGATTGTGATACGTGTGAGAGCGCACAATGTCTAAATCGATCGAAAGATGATTTTAGAATAATTTCGTATTGAGATATATTCATTTACTGTGTATAGATGATTTGATTATCTGAAATTGGGATTGCAGGGTGCGTGTGCTTATGTGTGAACGGCTGTGTGATCGTGATGGTGTTGATACAAGTACGACGATATGTGTGTTCGTTTCTCTGTACTTTGAACGATTGTATGGGTGGTGGGATTGATGAATCGTCCTGTGGCTGTTGTTATTCAGTAAGAACGTAGTCTCTTATAATCCAGGCATGGATATGTAGTATTTTGGATGACTAACCATTGTGGAACTCAAAACAATGTTTTCTGTCATTCAATATCCCTGTCAGGTTAAAACATGGCAGCTCTGGCTCAATGGTAGCTAATGCTAACAGTATAGTCGTATGACGGCCTATTGTAGTTGATTCGTTGGTTTCTTTATCTGTTATTGTGTGAAGAAGTGGATTCTTCTATGAAGGTGTGGATAAAAGGTTTGAATAGATGCGTCTGGATGATCCTAATTGACCAATCTGTCGGCGATGGACCGCTTCTGAGTTTGATTGATAGACCCTTAAGTTTCGGTTTTTTGTTCGTTTTATGTTTCTATTATTATTTCAAAAACAATAGAATGCTCCTGCAAATGTCATTGGAATATTTTTTGCATTGTTGACTTTCTCGTGAGACCTTCTTGAGCGAATAAAAACTTGGTCATAACGGATGTTCCATCATCGATCGATGAATTGACAAGTCGAGAAAGCAGGGTGTCTATGGAGTTGGTGATGGTAATTGTGCATGAAAGCTCAATACAGGTTGATGGTGAGTTTAAAAGATTATTCCAAGCTACTCACTACGATCGTTTCAAACGTTGCTTAAGGATTCATCATCAGGCAAATTTGGAATAGTGTATCACTGCACTGGATTCAATCCCAAAGTAATAGAAGGGTATACAAGTCGAATCTTTCGACAGAGAAATAGTTATGTTTATTATGATGATGAGATGAATTACAATTCATATGAGAGTTGGGATAGGTTCAGTTTTTGTTTAATTGTTGAAGGATAATTGCGATCTGCTCCTATTGTTCTATTAGGGTTAGTTGCTGTTGGTTTCGCTGTTGTTTTTATTCTTATTGTAGTATTTGAACGGCTTCATTTTGGTCTAGTTGCTCAATTTCATCCTCTATTAGTGGTAATTCTTGTGGAACAAGTAATGCTTCAAATCCGATTAATTGTTCTTGTTCCCATTGATCCTTTGGATCCATTTTTCTCAATCATATACATCCAAGAGGGGCTTGATGTATATCTCATCGAATGCTAAGTTGTTGGTCGAATGATATTTGGTCGATCGAACTTTCGTCAAAGTAACTTTGTCGAAAAATTTTTGTCGAAAGTTTTTTTGTAGAAAAGCACTTCGTTGACAGAACATTTCGTCGACAAAATATGTTTGCAATGGAATATTTCGTCGATAGTTCATTTTATTGCTGTTTTCATTTTCTCACTGTCGGAACAAAAGTTCACATTTGTCTTTAATTATCTTTGTACGTTTGGCAACAAAGCAAAATAGTCAGACTGCTGTTGAAAACATGTCATAAATAATGATTATTCACATTGAATCGTTATTTACTCTTTTCTATTTTACACTCATTGGATATCTTGAAGGACTTTCACTTTTGGTTGGGTGTGGGTGGGTGTGGGTGTGGGTGTGGGTGGGGAGTGAGTCTGGGTATGGCGTCGGCTGTAGGAATGATTATCTACAATCATTGCTACATCCACGCCCACACCCACACCCACACC